GCTCGCCGTGACCGAGAAAAATCGGTTCACCCTCCCATAAAAAGTTCTCACTTCAAAAATATTACGCCACTGATTTTTCTAAAACTAAATAATATTTTTCAAGTTCCTGTTCAATTTGGTCTCTTGACTTTTTTCTACGACGTCCCGTTTGTTAGTAAACAATTTAAAATCGATTTATTGCACAGCATGATCGGGTTTTTATTAAAAAGTTGGCTCTGCACTAGTTTTTGTCACTGATTGACAAAAGTTTCTGACAAATGTCACTGATTGCTGTCATTTAGAGTGTCTGAGTAACTTTAGTTGTCATCTTCTCTTTGGGATTTATGTAATTTCGAGTAAGTTCATATAAGTTGAAAACTTTATTTGTTGAAATGGTTGAGTTTTCCAATGCTGAATACTGATAATGCTTTACATTTATGGACTTTGCGACGGAAATAGTGCTGAAGCGTGCCGCGAATATCAGCGGCGAATTTCAAACAGGCGGCTTCCAAATATCTGTGTCTTTGCAAACACCTATCGAAGGGTCAGTGAGTCAGGAAAAATACAAGGTAGGCAAATTCACGTAGGAACTCCAGCACGTTAGGGCACCAATGTCTAAGAAGCCATTCTCCAAGAGTTTTTCAAGAAGATCCGACGACAAGCGTGCGCGTCGCGGCTAGGCGTCTTTTATATCACAGTGAAAAGTTCGGGCGACATGGAACAAAGAGAAACCACCTGTCTACCATTATACTCCGGTTTAAGACTTGCTTGAAGAAGATCCTTTAAGAAGAATGGGCTTCTGCCGATTTATGTTTAACGCTGATATGGAGGACTCAACTTTTCTCAGCAGAATTTTGTGGACGGATGAATCAAATTTTAATCGAGAGGGATTACCAACCACCATAATGCTCATTACTGGGCCGAGGAAAATCCCCGTTTAACGTATAACCGTAATTACCAAAGACGGTTCAGTACTCATGTTTTGTGTGGTGTAATAAGCGATCAAACAATCGGGCCACATTTTCTGCCAGACATCTTAAATGGGCAAAGATACGAAGAATTTCTTATTAATCACCTGCCACCACTACTGGAAATAATGTCCTGCACATTATCGGCAACTGTAAGGGAGTACCTTGGTCAGCGTTTTCCTAATCGATGGATGGGAAGAGGAGGCGCCATCTCATGGCCTGCCAGAAGCCATATCATGGCCTGCCAGAAGCCATATCATGGCCTACCTAACTCCGTTAGACTTTCACGTATGGGGTAGAATAAAAGAGTTGGTTTTTGCCGGAGAAATACATACAAGGGAGGAATTAATATAGCACATTACAGATGCCGCTATTACACTTATACATATTACACTTAGACAGACATTTTCGGCTAGGGTAACCCGGACTGAAATAGGAAGGAGGGCACATGCAATGTTAGAAGAAGGGGGCTTCATTTTGAGCAAGATCTTAAGTAGTAAAGAATTAATGAATAACAATTTTTTTCCCTTATCAAATCAATCTTGGTGCTCATTTCAATACTAAGAATAAGTAAAATTTTAATTAACAGGCAAATTAATCTAATAGGGAAAAAACAAATAAAGAAACTCTAAGACTGATGTCAACTGCGGCTAGTAATAATTTTTGTCATAAAATTGATACAATCTAACTGCGCAATTTTTGCTGTCTTTATACTAAACCCTACTTAACTTCAACCCGACTAAGCTATGAAATAAATCGATTACGATTAATTTGTTTACTCGCAAACGGGACTTTGTAGACAAAAAAGTAAAGATACCTTTTCTCTTCCAAATTGAACAGCAACTTGACAAATATTATTTATTTTTACAAAAACCAGTGGGGTAACATTTTTTTATTTAAAATTATCTACAGACGTGCCTGTACCCACGCCAGTGGAAAAGATAGAAACAACATTTTTATGATAAAACGTGTACTGTTCTTAGTTGCATAAGCCTGTCAAATTTCATTATAATATTCCAAGCGGCTTCCGAAATATTAATAAACAATATTTTTTTATTAAAACTTTAACACCCTGTAGATCGGAAACTAATGGTTTTCGGAACCTAGTCTATTAACGAAATATATCCAGAATTACTTGGGCTATCACCCCCTGCAAGGAATGCATCTACTTACCAAACACCCTGTATGTATATGTAAAATTAGAATCGTTCTGCTGTGACTGATACTGATTTTATTGTCGTGTAAGGCAATTTGTATCATTTATTGGTTTTTTTTTCTGTGAATCACTGTAATTTAAACGGTTCTTGAATTCTCAACAGGGACGAGAGTCGGGTTTGCAAATTTTAAATCCTTTTCACTTAATTTTTTTACAAACTAGTAAGGTTTACGCAGGAGACTTAAATGTGAAATAAGGATGTTCTGTTGTGAACACATATCTTGTATTACCTTTGAACTAAATATATCAACATTAAGGATTTTTTTCTGTAAAGATGAAATATTTGCTCATTCAAAGGTAAAATTCGCCCAGAATCCAGATCAAAGTGCGTAAAGGTAGGTGGAACTTGTCATTACTTTGTGATGGTCTATCAAACAGCGCCCAGAGAGGCTGCAAGTGATCCTGGGCTACCCTTTTCGATTTCGCACTGTTTTCCCATATTAAACCCTGTAAAAATATTTCTTTTCCAAACTACCTGTGAGGGAATTTTGGCGACCAGGATCCATCTGACTATTCCAGATCTACTAGACGGTGCCGCATTTTCCAAAAAAACGGAACGTTTAAGAATTCCAGTGGTCTGGATCCAGATCGCAATTTATTTCGTAATAGTAGATCGGAACCAGAGTGTACTTTATATTTTGCAACATTTATGCTGTGCAGCTTTGCTGAATTTAAATAATTATCGGCTTTTACGGATTGTATATTGTGGTTTTTGCAAAATTATTATTGCGGTTTTTGCGGATGTTATACATATAGCGTCTTTTTGATGATGCAATGGTTCTTGAATTTTCGATACAGACGGTTCGATTTTTCAAATGTAAAATTATTTTCATGCAGGTTTTCAACACTCTCGACTCGTGAAGTCTAAAATGGGCCATCATGCACAGCTCAAGTGCGTATCAAATATGTTTCAGTCTCCCAAATTTAAAGAAAAAGCGGTTCCTTTATTTTGCAGATTGCTGCTATTTTTTGTGTTTAGTTTTAAGAATGTATATTTGTTTACCTACTTAACAAATTCCACAAAAAATTGCCTGGAAATTTTGAAGTGTTTTACTTTCTCATATAAATACGGTTTAGATTTGGACATATATTTCAATTATATGTTCAACTGTTCTCAGAAACTTTCAATTGCACGAAGCCTCACTTCCTTTTTGGAAACCCACTACATAAACAACTAAAATAATCTTTAACACACAGTTGTTTCTAATGTATATATTTTATTCCAATAAAAATGGAATGTACAACAGCTCGTATATCAATAATATCAGATACACTGCCATAAAACGCAACGTGAAATATGCGCTATTTTAACAAACAAACTTCATTAAACAGTTAACAAAAAAATAGAAATTTAAAGTTTGTGTCGCCGAACTCCAAAATTAATTTATTTTTTATTGGGTTTCCAGTTGGGATTGGCGTGAATCAAGATCTTGATGGGATTTCCTGCTTGAGTTCTAGCTACCTCGAATGCTTTAACAGTTTCTTCGATTTTAAAGTGATGTGTGATTAGTGGCTTTACGCTAATCTTGCCTGAGGCCACCATATCGATAGCTATTGGATAACTGAAAATAACAGAAAAATTAAGATTTACCTGACTAAAATTATAAATAAATCTGTTACATCTGGTGTAAGTTACATTTTCCGGAAAGCAAAGAATGTTTTTTTCATCATTCGTTTTTTATATATGTAGTTACGATAAATGAAACGTAGAATTCAACGTTTTTGAAACATTTCAAAGTATGCATTAACCGCACTAAATGGCAAACGTATAAAAAATAAGCGCCTAAAGTCATCAGGCATTATTGAATTAAATTATTAATTTAGGTAAAACAATTCAGTTACAAGAACTTACACAGCGTGGTTTTATTATTTGGTTTTCGAATAGATACGAATTAACAATTGATGTCCAAACGTGTGGAATCAACGTTCGGAATTGAACAATTTTTCATTGTTGTTTTACAGTAGTAAAACCTTTACTGAGAAAGTATTTCAAATGTTCCTTTCGTTTATATTAAATAGGCAAAGTTGTCCTTTTCAGCACCTAATATTTATACTTACTCGTTGCTATATCTGAAGACACCTCTAATATCAACTTCACGGATAATCGCGCTTGATAATGGTAGAGTTTGCTCAAGTTGACCCATTCCGATCAATACGACAATTCCTTTGCTTTTTGTCACCTATAAAACGATTCACGTAAAATTGCAAGTTAGCTTAGAAAACAAAAGTAAAAAAGTCCGGCTTGTCAAAGTTTAACTCACCTTAAGAGCAATTCTCACACTTTGTTCTGCCCCAGAACAATCGAAGGTTTTGTTTGGCTGTTCTCCTAATAGCTCCACAATTTTGGCAACAATTGCGTCTTCTTCCATGCCTTTTTCTATCTTAATTACATGATGAGCCCCCAATTCCTTGGCTGTCTGCAGTTTCACATCCCAAATATCTGGATGGATTAAGAATTAATTGAAGATTAAACTCAGAAAGGATCACAAAGTTACCTGTGACAATGATTTTAGAAGCTCCCATAGCTTTGGCAGATAGTAAAGTGACCAGGCCGATAGGTCCTGCTCCCAAAATGAGCACAACATCGCCTACAGTAACGAAGCCCCTTTTTGTAGCATGTACTCCTACGGACAGAGGTTCCATGAGGGCGCCATCTTCCAAATCCATGTTTGGAGGAAGCCTAAAACGTGATATTAACTTTTAACATGTTCTTCAATTTCATGGGTCTTGTTGGTTGGTTAATGTAGGTACAGATTTAGTACCTACTTGTGACAAAAATCAGCCGCATGCACATAGTATCTGCTCAGATTGCCATCATCTGGTGGTGTGGCACAAAAGAAAATATCGGCGCAAAGATGGTAGTCTCCACTTTTGCAGAAAGCACAAAATCTACAGGGTACACCAGGCTCAATGGCAACTTGGTCGCCTGGTTGGAGGTGTTTCACGTTTTTGCCTACTTTAACTACAGTGCCGGATGCCTCATGACCTAAATTGCAATTATTCGTTAAAATAATGTTTTATTTTCTCTTTCTTCTTATTATATCTTAGGATTGAATGTGTTTGCTACTGCAGTTTAAATAGTTTTTACCGAAATTGTCTTCCAATGATAGTGTTGTAATAGGTGGTGAGGCTAATTCGAAATAGTGCAACTTACCTATAATCATGGGCTTCTTAACGACGAATGGTCCAATTGAGCCATGTACTAGATAATGTACATCAGATCCGCAAATACCGACCACTGCCATTTGTAAAAGAACCTCTGAAAAGAACATTTATGAGCTTGTTTTATGGGCAATGTTTTTTGAGGCAATAATGTTTAAATTGTACCGTAATAATTAAACATTTTACCGTTACCGTAATAATTAAACAAAAACTACAAAAAATGTATTAATGTAAATTGAACCATCTAGTCACTTTAATGGAGCGAATGGTCTTTCGCGATGTGATACTTAAAAGGACTTACATGTTTCTTCCATTCTAGCTTAAGATTATTAACGCCAAATAACCGAAGTACAAAACAATGGAAAAGCGTCGAAGCTTTTGATTAATGATAGGTATCCATTATATTGAACATTCTCGGTAAAATTTCGATTTTTAGTATTAGCCTTTTAATTCCACCCGTTATTAATGTAATTTTCTCACGATGATTTTAGTTATACAATTTGTTTTATGGTACTTTTCTTACTTATATATGCACTTCATTGCATTTAAATGCTACATAAACTACGTCTATATTTTTTCTTAGTTTTGTTGCTGTGGTTCTTCTTTATACATGGTGTACTATTTTCACTTTAATTATTTCAGAAGATCGAGAATCATCGCGTGCGCGTTAAATTTTAGTGAATCAAAAGCAATATTCATACTACAAGAATATAACTTTTACAAAATCATTCTCATTTCAGTTTTGTTATCTAGAGTGGAGTAGATTTTACTTTAAATTGTAACTAGAAATAGCACTGAATGTTGTAATATGCGAAAAGAAATAATTAGAGAACAATAAAGGCAAATTTACGGCTCACACAAATAGGGAAAATGTGTAAGTTATACTGCATAATTTGCATCTTATGATCAGATATACAGATATTTTTTTTACTGTCTCTTTTACCAATTTAATTAAGTATATTCAGTTGAATAAATAACTTCAAAATAAACCTGAAATCGAATAGTTTTGTGAAAAACGTATTTAAGTTTTTTTAATCATAATAAATAACGCACTTGATACAAATTTTCTGGAACATAAATATATTTTTATTTGCGTATCTATTTTATGTTTAATGTTGTGTATATTTTATTAAAAACTTTGATTTACTCGTATAAATAAATTCCCAGATCTTCAAGACGGTTCAATAGTTAACTTAAGACTCGGCCCAGAAAGTAACCCATCTTTATTCAGCAAAAATTCTTCAAAATTCGAAAATCTTTTACATTCGAAGTTCCAGAAGTTTTAAATCGTCACATCTCCGAAACGGTTGAAAATACGCATCAATCGTATGAACCTATTAGATAGCACGTCTCGAGAATTATCTTCGACTAGTTCGTTTTTGGTGCGTACCTTCTATCTCTAAAGTAAAAGCCCAAAATTAAGAAACCTTTAAAACTGCTTTTTGAAAACTGTAGAGCATTTTGCATCTTTGATCATCATAACTGAAGCAAGATATCTGTAAAAACATACTGCGAACTTTTAATAAAAACTTAAAATCTTAACATATCTCGAAAACAATTGGAATTACAGAAATAATAATTTGGACTTTCTCGATAGAGCAATTCAAATGCTTCCTTTCACCAATGAGGACTGAAGTGAAATTGGTAAAATTTCGAGGGCTGTTAAATTGTTGCCATATCCGGAAATGACGAGTTTTCTCACAATTATACAATAACAGCACTTTTGTGTTGTGCGTTTAGCCCCAAAAACATACATTTCGCTTCTATTTGCTCCCATCCCTTTAGAAGAGTATTTCGTTACTAATTCATCGTTATTATAAAATATGTGAATAACTGAAGATTAATAGTATTCTTCCAACAACTAATAGTTTCTCGAAATGTTATTCTCCGACTTATCGATCGATTTAAAAGCACGGTTATTTTAGTTCGAACCTAGTGGTGGTAAATAACTTCACACTAATTGCGGAAAATCCGATAATTACAATAAAACTAATTTGCTGCTAATGATTAATGCAAGTGTGCGTGTGACATTGAAGCATGCAATATTTTATCATGTTATATAAGGAAAATGTTCTACGTAAATCTAATAATATCCACACAAACAAGCCTTTATTATCGGCTTTAACTAAAGCTGCTAACGTAAAAATGCGTTTATCAGGAAACTTATCAGAAGAAAATAAGTTGAATGTAATAATACGGACCTAGACGGGTCATTGCTATTGAGTAAATTCATACTGTTTTGATCTTAGCTTTTTGAAAGATAATTGCTGCTATTCTTGTACTTTAATAAATTAATTATAAAGGGTTATCTTGACAAAATTTCATATCAGCGATCGGTGGAATATTTTGGCAGCAACCTCAGCAAGTTCAAAGTTGTCTACCAATTATTCGGAAAAAACAGAAAATTATTGTTTTAGCTCGATATAGGTATATTGTATGTATATGTATTATACATACAAGTGTAGTGCTAGGTGTTTATAAGCACCGATAATTTGAAAAACAAACAAACAAATTCAGGAATATTTACGATGTTTTGGAGCAGTGTGGCTTAATACTTCATAATTAAAGTATCTTGCTTCTTTATTGATAAAGCATGTAGATGCCGGAATGTGTTGATTTGCCGAAGTGTGATTGAGTTATTAAAAAAATGACTTTTATAATGTGATAATAAAAGGCATATAGAGCCTCGAAACTTGCGAATTGTCAGGCAGTATTTCTGCATTATTAATCTTTAATTTTACTTTCAATTTTCTAATTTTTTCTAATTTCTCAAAAGGTATGTACATTTTTTAGTAATTTTAGAGCACTTTGTCACTAAAATTGTTCATTTCGGAGATAACATTTTCTGTAATAGATAGCATGATTTTAAAACTATCCTCTAGAATAGAATATAGAAAGTAAAAAGTCGCGTAAAAATTTAATAACGCGGGTGGGTGGGTCTTTGAAAGAGCGCATAGAGCCAATGCCGTCTTAAGAACAAGGCCTCAGTGCTAAAATCTAAAAGAATGATGACGTCAGACAATGTAGGCCAGTTTTTCACCCGTAAAGAATGCATTGAGCTGTAGACTAAATCAGATTTTGATTATTGAAGAGCGATGGTTTCGTTATATCTTATCTGGTCTTCTGCACAGATGTTATACCGCATGGAAGGTACTTCCGCGGGTTTGGCGGTTAATACAGATTTTTCTGGCCTTCATAATTACATTTAAATACACATATAATAGGGCCTATCCTGATTTGGGGAAATAGTAATTAGAGATTAATAAAATATATTATTTTTTAAACAATTCATTCGATAAAAACTTACGGCAACGCTGGTAGCTTCAAATATACAACCGAAAGTATTTGTGGATTTTCGGTTCTGAAGAAGTCTGCCTTTTTTGATGTTTTTTAGTGAAATTTTGTATCCACATGAAGAAGTAATCAACATGGTGCTATATATTTTTTTTAATTTTTAAGATTTATAGAAACTTTAAATAAAAAAACTTTTCTTTACAACTTATTTCTAAATCATCTTTTCATTACTCATTTTCTCGAGGATATAGTAATCATTCAATTAAAAATAGTGCGAATATTATTCTCACCAGTGTTTAGTACCAAGTACACTTAGAAACAATTATTATAAAAATTAATAATCATTTACGCAAAAAAACGAAAATTACAAACTTTTGTCAAGTAAATGAGAACTAAGTACCTTAGTTACGACTACCAAAATCGTCAACTTTCCCGACCGCAAACGAATTTCATAACCCGGCTTGGAAGTACTTTTAAATTGTATGTACTTTCCTGACTGTGTTTCAATTCCAAAATTAAAATCAAATCCTGGGTTCTTCAGTCATTTATTGTTCATTTATCAATTTAAAAAAACATTTCGGTGTTTTCCACCATCATCAGTTTTAATGTGTAGCGTTGTTGCTACTTTAAAGTAGCAACAACTTTAAAGTAGCAACAACGCTACACATTAAAACTGATGATGGTGGAAAACACCGAAACGTTTTTTTAAATTGATAAATGAACAATAAATGACTGAAGAACCCA